GTTCGGTTTCGTGGTAGAAGGGGGGGGGGGGGGGTGTCACAGGGCTTAGTTGAGCAGCAGCTTAACTGGCTAACCACAGACAGACATATATTTAAAAATGCTGCCATACCAAATGAGAGATTTTACATGTTACTCTGAGGTCCATATTTCAATGAATGGTTCTGGACCATTCTTAGTATGAATAAAAGAAATTCAGGACATATGGTGACATAGGCCTGGGCTTCAGCTATATCTGCCCCACATAGGCCAATATTTTCTTACACTTGTTCAGAATCATTGGCAATAATCATTTGCATTTGAGCGCTTATATGATTTAAAGATTTACCTCCTGGGTTTAGTACCCCAGGAGGTAAATCTACCCTCATTTTAAGGTGTATATATATATATATATATATATGTGTCAAATTAAAATACATTGTTTTAGATCCAGTGGCATAGCAGCAACAACAGACTGCTATAAAGGCTGGGGGTAGGGGCGGGGGGGAGCAGCTGATTTCCCAACCTCTGTTCTCTCCAATAGTGCAACTGTTTTCCCCTAAGCTTGCATGTGTGTGTAATTATGGCGTATGCAGACATCTCTTGCTGTTAGTGTTTTTATCATAGCAAATATCTTGAAGAACCTGAAGCTGGACATATTTGGGAAGAACTTCATCCATCAATTTGGAAGCAACTGATTGACTGATAAACTGGTTTTGTTATGGAGCTACCAGAGATCTCTTGGAAACCCCAAGGGAGTTGATAGAGCCACTGTAAAATGTTTCACATGGTACTACACAGGATCCACCAACATGTTGGCATTCTGATTTTTCTGAAAATGCTTCAAGAAGTATCATAATGCACCTTCAATCACTCTAGTCAGGGATGGCATAATGCCTTTCAATTTCCTTGTCCTTTTGGTTTTGGTGCATTGAATATGCTCCCAAAATGCAGTAATTGTGGACCAGCTTAGCAGCTTTTTTAAATTCCACTGGAAGTTTCAGAGACATTCAACTTAATTTTCAGACAGGTGTGGAAGGCATCTGACCTTGTCCTAATTCATAACATGTTTTCTTTGCAGTAAAGGTTCATTTAAAGATTTATTGCTTTGTGTGATGTTATTTATTGGAGCTTGAAGGCATACGTTAATATGATGGATGAAATGTAGATGAACAGCACCACCAATTAACATCTTTCCCAAACGCTCAATAAAGTCCAGGCGCACTATATTGTGTTGTACGTTGTGCTGTTACTCTGCTGAATCCAAGGCATCAAGTCTTTTTATATCCTATCTGAGAATATCTATTTTTCGTAATATACTCTTTAGGTTATTGTTGAACCTAAACTATATAAAAAGAAATCACTTCTAGTCTATCTAAAGGGCTTGTCTTGAGATCCAACCAAAGCCATTTGAGGCTCCCATTCCAATCACTGTGTATCACTGACCTGAAACAAAGAACACTTTTCTCATTTCAGACTTTTCTGTTTGTTTCTATTAACATGTGGCCATCACTCTCCTTACCTTGGTTCCCCTTGATTGACTGACAGATAGATTTCCCATGAGTTGTCTTCTGCAATCGCCTCATGCGGGATCAACAGGCTCACCCCTTGAAAATAACGAGATACAGCTTAGAGATCAGAATCAGGGAGAGAATGCCTGACAAGTACAGAAATCAAAAAAGCACATCTCCCTACACAGCACATGGCAAAAAGCACTGAATCAGGTTTGAGTAACTTTGTCCTCTTTTTTAGCTGAGGAACTAATGGCGCCAGCATATTCTACCAGTCTGTTTCTCTGTGCTCTACAGAGCACATTTAATAAGCAGTGAATGATGACTTATATGTCATGGCATGGACTTTTGCATTTATAAAGCACATTTGTCAACCAGATTCACCTGCATGTTCACCTGATTTAGTCAGGCTGGTCATCATTCCCCTATTGACTTATAACTCCTTAGAATAGCCCCAGCTTATACTATTCCCCAGCTCCTGAGCAGCAGATTACAGAGACCTGTAGTTGTTTTCTAGCTACATGGTTCCTTTAGTTACTACTATGCGCTCTTAGTAGCCGTTGTGGGTTTAAGTAGTTGTCAGGGCAGCAGTCAGATGTTAGCTTACATCGCCCAAACTACAGTCGCAGGCTGAGATGGATTAAATAAAGCCCATAATGGACAAATCTACCAGGGTTAAGAGTTTGGAGAAGGCAGAAGAGAACAATCTAGGTCTAAATAGCTGAACTAGAAAGTGAGCTGAATTGGAGAATTTTTCCAAATCAGCTATTCTGGCCTAGATTGTTCACTTCTCCTGCCTTCTCCAAACTCTTCACCCTTTTGTGAATAACTCTGTAAATATTTCATAGGAATATCTTTGCATTTTTAGTAATCTAAGACGGAATATTCTGATTCATTGCATGAAACCAAGTTGTGACTGGCTCTCCCTAAATATGTTCCTAAGTTTTATATAGTTACAGCTGATTCCTCAAATGAAAAAGATATAGATAATGCAGCTCTTTACTCACTAACACATCCTTAAAGTGACACTGAACGCAGGAGTTAAACCTAAATGATGCATTCAAGTACCTTAACTATTAACAAAAATGCATCTTATTTGTGCATCACTCAGCTATAAATCCTCAAATCATCTCTGAATTGGTGCTGACACTGTCCTTCCTTCTGGAGGGGGGCTACCTTTGTTTTTCATCATTCCTGTGTGTGTTGTAAACTAGCTACCACTCCAAGCTCACTCCTGTGATGGACTTCAATCTCATGTTTAGTTTACAAATTTGTATTGATCTTGTAGTCTATCACGGGAGCGAGCTTGGAGCAGTGGTTACTTTACAACACATACAGGGACCATTGGGAACAAAAGTAGCCACCCTCCAGAAGGAAGGACAGTGTCAGCGCCAATTCAGAGATGATTTGATGATCTACACTGAGTGATGCACAAATAAGTTACATTTTTGTTAATAGTTAATGTACTTAAATGCATTTTTAAGATTTAACTCCTGAGTTTAGTGTATTGTTTGCCCTGGAATCAGTCTCTTGCAGTCCCTGTAAAAAGAGATGAGGTCATCAGTCTCCTGCTTCCGCATCACTGCTTCACTGTCCAGTCACAGGGTGGGGAGGAAACTTGTAAGTGTTAATGAACTAACTCCAGCAAAGAAAAATCAGGTCAGGTATATGGTGTGGTAGAGCTGTGCACTTTCCAGAAATAGATTGACGGAAATACAAATCCTTTAGCAAGTAGAAAAGCTCTCCTAACATGTATCTTATCTGTGTATTTATCCGTTTACCTTGAGTTCAGCTTTAAACATTTTACATTTAGGGTAACTTAGCTACTGTATATTGAATTGGCGGCCCTGGTAGAACCAAGGACACTATATAAAAATAAAATATTTTACAGGCAGGCAAAGCTAATGTAACTGCCAGAGAATACTTGTTTCTATCCTTATGCATTGTCTAGGACAAGCAGTTCTGTTTTATGTTGTCAGCCCCAACTCAATACCTTGGACAATGCGTATTGTACTAGTGAAAGGATGATATATCCAGAATTTACTGGTACAATCTGTATTATAAAGCCTCTTAAAACATTGTTACATCTCCATTTGTAGAAATGAGCACACGAGCACACGAGCACACTTGTAATGTGAGCATTCTTTTACAGGCAGCATTTGTTCAATAAACATTATCCAATATTGGCAATTCAAGGCTGTGTAATAGCAATATTATTATAATTCATGACTAATTGTGGCATCAATAAAATGGGTGATATAAATGAAGTCAGCTAATCAATATAGACTCTCAATACATCTCTCTGAGTATTAAATGAGTAACTTGTATAGTGTTTTTACAACATGTGAATTTGTTAGGAAGATTTATAGAACATTTGTGTGTGTTAATGGTAAGCAGAATTAATGTTAATGATATACAGTAATTTGGATGATGTCCTGCTAGTCTTGTATGAAAAGGATGCACAGGCTGGCAAAGTCCTTCTAATTACTTCTAACAAAAGATGAGAGAAGCAATCCGTGCAAAAAGAAATCTCACTGAGATTTTGATCATTTACGGATAGTGAACATCCATGAATGTCAACGTGTTCATTGGAAGCAGTTAGCACTTTTCATTTTTTTAACTGTAACAAAGAACCATGAGTCCCTAGAAAGGAAGGTTGTGAGCCTGCAAAATGCAATGCAATTTCTTACATTTTACCTTATGGCACCAAAAAAGTGGTAGAAGCTAGCAGCACTTCTGAAAAAGCTAGCGTTTTTAGAGGAGGGCAAACCATGTGGTGTTTGGGTCCCTTTCTCTACAATCACCAGCCTGATGCAGATAGGCATATGGGTTAGCCATTGGCTTTTATGTTATAGACCTACACACCAATAAGGGTAGGTAGGATACACGAGTCACCAGAAAGCTAAGTATAATACTACTTCTCTAGCAGTAACCTGATGGTATCAATTCTTTTTAGACCTAAGTGGGTCTCTAAGTCCCTAATGGATTGATTAAGCCCTTTGTATATTACTCATTATTATGCAGTTGTCTATGGATGTATTGCCACACTAGTGTATGTTAAACACTCAATGTTTCTCTCTTCAGGCTACCAATATACCATGCACCTGTGTGGTTACTGAAGGCTGAACCTCTGCACGGTGTGAGTATAGAATCATAATAAAGTCTCTTTGGCAGTGCCTTCACCCAACTGGGCCTTGTGCGGTGCAAGTGGGACCCCCAGTTTAGAATACCTTGTCCCTAGGCATAGTACTTACAGTTGTTGTATCACTTTCAATGAGGGCAGTCTAAAGTCCTTGAATTTCTTTAAATAGTTTATTTCAAAAAGCAGAACAGGGATAGAGAGGGCTGAAATACCCAAGAGCAGCATATCTTCTGGGAACTGACAGTCCCTGCATGGAGCTTAGACATTTCCCACACAAAGCAGGCAGAAGTAGCATCCATTACAACAGAGGTTCCTGTGTTTTCTCTTTATCAAGTATGGCTGCAGCTCTGGACTGGTGGAGGTTCAGATATTACTCTATTGTCCCCAGCAACATTCTGAAACATCTGAATCACCTCGAGTTAGGCAGGTAGGCCAGTGGAGGTATAAGTGGTGTTCCAGTTTTCCCAGTGAATGCCTGGTGGTAGCCATGTCAGCATGGGTGAGGTCCTTCTTAGATAATTAGTAGAATCAAGTAGCAACCAGAAGAACATTGCAGGCCCAGAGGGCCAGGGCCCCTCGGCCTGAGAAGGAGCCCAGCACCCAGTAACAGGTAACAACCTGTAGGCTATAGACTGACTCTCCAGCAGCATATAACCGTGACATGCCCCTCTGATTCTCAACAGAATCTGGCAGATGAAAAACATCACAGTGCACCCTACTGGTGCAAATAGTGCACTATTTTAAAACTAAACAAATAAGTGCAGATTTAAGCAAGCCTTAGGAAATACATGCTCACACTAATACTAATAATAATAATACAAAAAATCACCATCTTGCCTTTTTTTTGAGCCTCAGTCAACAGAATCTCCTTTGTGACATTCCTCAAACTCTAGGTGTAAACATCATCAACCAGGGGAGTGGCTGTTGTGAGAGGGGTGGGGTTTAATTTTGTAATTTTCAAAAAGTTACATTGGACTTGCACTGTGTATTATAGCGCACAAATAAATCAGATGGTGTTAAGGGGGAAACTTTTGGTAAATTCTCATTATGTTCTAAAATGATGTAGCTTCAGTTCTAATGAAAAAATGAGGAATGGTTTGGAACAGGAGCATTCCCAATCATGCGCAAGTTAGAAGTAATAACAGTGTTGTGATAAGGACTTGCATCTCCTGGCTGCATCACAGTTAATTCAGTTAATTTCCTTCAACCAGCTGAGCTCAAGTGCAAATGCAGCCATGTATCGGGCAGTGGCCAAGAGTGCACATAGCGTGTCAGAAGGACAGTATGTGTTAAAGGCACGTTGCCTTTTTCCTGCATGTGCCCAGCTATCTCCAAGAACACATCTATTTACTCATTGCTTCCATCCCCGAGAAGAATGTGAAATTAACCTGGAAATGATCAAATTCGGCTAAGCGCTCAGCCAAGCGTACGTCCAAATGCCATGCCAGAGTTTGGTGGCTGATAGTGCGATGCTATGTAACCTAGAAGAAGCTGCCGTTTTCTCTCTCCTGTCATTTGACAAGCTAGCTTTGATTAACCCAAACACCTGTTACCCAAGATTGCCTTTTATTTTATCTGGCAGAAGAACAAGTTGTTGTGTTTTTCATTCAATAACAGCACAAGAAAGTAAAAAAAAAACAAAAAAAAAACCCCTACTATTTCTGATATAATGCCTGCTTGTCACAGCCACATACTATAGTGTATGAGCTTTTGGTGAAAAATACAATTTCCATGGTAGTTTCTGGCATTATTTCAGCAATGCTTATCAAAGCTGAAAAATTAATAAAAAATGTATCACCCCCATAACAAAACATACGCTAATCTAATACCCCTAACATTAAACCCTAACCTGGGCCCTAAAAAAGCTCTTTAAGTACATCTAAAGCCAAGTCTTTTTCATTTTGGATAGAGAAATATTTTTTTTCCAAGCTGTGTCCACTGAGAAGATTTCTCT